CAGCATGTCATACGTGTTCATTTTGTAATGAAATTCATCGGTGTGTTGTCTGTGCGTCATTGCTGGGAAGTAACGACTGCTATTCTCGTTCAAGATCGTACGATAATCGTGCCACATAAGGTAATGTGATTAATTACCTCATTACAATTACTACACTGATTTCCGTCATTCGTATCTCTTTAATTCAGAATGGAGTTTACAGAAAGAGTGTGTGCTTAAAGCAGTATGAGTCTGCGAAATCTTCGTCAAAAATTATCTTTCTGCACTTTTATAAGTAACTAGCTGACCCGCGCAACTTCGTCTGCGTTTCTCAATAGTAATAAATTTTCTCCGTTTTTGAAACATTCTTTATTGGTGCTCCGCTTCTATTGGTCTAAGCGTGATGATATATAGCCTATAGCCTTCCTCGATAAATGGGCTATCTAACACTGAAAGAATTTTTCAAATCGGACCAGTAGTTCCTGAGATTAGCGCGTTCAAACAAACAAACAAACAAACTCTTCAGCTTTATAATATTAGTATAGATAAAAAAATTCGTTAATAAATTCGCAAAACCCATCTTTACTACTATTATAATTTATGTATGTTGTTTAGTTCACGATTTAATTCATTATAAATTATTTATACTATTAAAAAAATGTTATCCTGTAAAATTAAGAAGTGAGTCGAATACTATCAAAGGCGAGACTCGTTCTAACATTTCTTAAATAGTCACTTTAGCCTCTGATATTAATTTGCCCCAATTTTATTATCTCTCAGTATACTTGCACGCTGTTTATTTAAGAGACGTGAACTGAATACTTATTTAATTTACGATCGTCCTAAATTCTCGCGAATTATGACATTTTGTAAACTAGGTTTTATATATTTGCCCGTGTTATCTGACCTGACTTTACGTTTATAGGGTCACAATTTGATCCAGGCGTGCTTTGAATCTGAAAACCCAATGCAAGTTAAAGGGAACTTTACACATAACATACATGTTATGTACACATATATACATACATGGTTGGAACTCGAAAGGGAAAGACAGAGATGTATTAAAAACCCGTACTAAATAATACTACATTTCGTCTACTTTCATTCTGCATACCTGTTCGTTCTTTCTCACTACCTTTCATACCATTCAGGTGGGATTCCTGCTCTTTTCTTTTCTTTTTATTTAACTTCGGGTAGTAAATAGTGACACCTTCACTTTTTTATTTACATTTTATTTCTTTTTTACTTTTTTTGCTATGCTTAAAATAGACATTCCTTACGACTAAATTACAAACTTATGATATATTCTAAACTAGCTGACCCGCGCAACTTCGTCTGCGTCTCTCAATAGTAATAAATTTTCTCAGTTTTTGAAACATTCTTCATTGGTGCTCCTATTGGTCTTAGCGTGATGATATATAGCCCATAGCCTTCCTCGATAAATGGGCTATCTAACACTGAAAGAATTTTTCAAATCGGACCAGTAGTTCCTAAGATTAGCGCGTTCAAACAAACAAACAAACAAACTCTTCAGCTTTATAATATTAGTATAGATGTTTTGCTCTACTATACTACACAACTCCCTGTTACGTATTTTATCTTTATTGTATGATAATCAACAATAAAAACACTATTCCTTTTATTTACTACCTTAGTTATGTTTGTTCAGGTCAGTATGTCTATTCATCGCCTTAATATTAGACTTGCTATACTTTTTTTCACGGTATAAGGAGGCAAACGCTAGGAACCACCTGATGGTAAGTCGACTACGCCCATGGACACTTCTAACTCAGAGTCACAAGTGCGTTGCCTACCTCCAAAATCAAGGAGAGGGACAGTTTGGGGTCCGGCAACCTCACTCACTCGTTAAAACCAAGAAAAAATTGTTTAATGCCGGTTACCTATGAGGCCGTGGCATCACTAAAGTAACAATATTGAATGTTTAAATTTGATTATTCATCTATACAAATAAATAAAATTAGTCTGTTTGTAATATCAAAATAATAGCTTTTTTTCATGCTTACACGGTTAGTTGCACGATATCTATCGTACGAAACCAGTTTAAATACTTTTTGTCTGTGTGTCTGTTTGTACCGGGTAATCTTCTGAACGGCTGGACCAATTTTGATAATGATGTCTATATAAGAAGTAACTTAGGCTATTTTTGATCTTAGAAAAACCTTTTAAAATTACCGCTTTTTTTTTGTTCACATTCACACAACGCCATCTAGTCCGAAACTAAGCAGAGCTTGTACTATGGCTACTAGACAACTGATATAAATACATATATACTTTTTTTTTTAATACATACTTATTATACATAGAAACACCCAGACCAAATCAAACATTAAATGTTCATGCACACAAATGTTTGACTTGAGCGGGAATCGAAGTCGCGGGTACCAGCCAGTATTCAATTAAATTTGCGCGTGTTCCAACTTCTTGTTTAAAGTTTCATTACGGTCAATGCACTGTATAAATATTCATTGTAATCAATAAATGAAGTATAATATTTTTTCTGTATAGGCTTTTTGTCATGGTTTTACAATTTAATATGTGAAAATTTATTCAATGTTACTTGGGTCACATTGACAATTTTATATGAACTGTGAATCTTGATTTAAGAACTAGATTGCTACTACTGTACCGATGAATCTTGCAGGAATTAGAAACACATCTATTTTTTTTTCTTTTTATAAAAGATCAACTCCCGCACTAGAAACATATCCTGTGTAGGGACTTTAGAAAGTTTCATGAAAGAGACACAAATTACACCCAGTCTCAGAACATCAATTTGTGGATTAAAAAGTGTTGTCCCATGACGGGTTCGAACCTACAACACTCAGGGCTGTAGGAAGCGGCGAAGTGACCACTTTAACCACTACGCCATCCGTCCAATGCTGTACCGTGTTACTAATAAACCAACCAAGCCTACTTTTGCATACACAGTCTTGCGACACCACTGAAGACACACTCTTCGTGTTCCTCCGATAAGGAAGTGTCAGAACTTTGAGATAAAATCAAAACAGAGGCGTAATGTTTACTTCTACGTAAAACCTAATGCGATGACGTCACAATACCTCAACTGATTCATTACCTCTGTAGTTTCCTTATTTTCTTAATATAACAGACATACCCACTCGACATAGTACACAACAGTTTAGACACAGAGAAATTATAAACTTTAAAACTAAAAAAGTGGTTTGCGTGTCGAAAAACGGGGTCGAATCTGCATTTTATTATCTTTGCTGACGTATTTAATAAATTAACATTTTTCGATCTTGTGGTAATCAGTCACGGAATATTACAATAGACATTGCTATTGTAATGTTTAGAAACCAGTACAACACGCAATGTATTCGCCTGAAAACACGTGTCAACACTTTCTGTGACGTCAATGTAACAAATGACATTAAAAATGGGGTTTATACACGCATACGCGCCTATTAATTCTAAGTTCTTATTTATGAAATAAACTATAGAACCAATATGTTCTAGAGAATTCTAATAATTGTCTATACTATGAAAGTTATCGATACTATGTTTGTATTTAGAAATATATAAGTATGTTTATCAGCAGTCTGGTTACCATAGTACAGGCTCTGACCAGTTTGGGAGCAGACGGCCGTGTGTGAGATGTGTGAAGTTATTATTATTATAACCAGGATATGAGCTCTCTTAGGAGGCACAGAGCGCATTCGTAGTCTAATATTCTATAACTCGTGAGGCTACCAGAGTTCTATAAAAAAGATTGTCTCAAGCAATACGCAACAGAGAGCTGCGATGGGAGTGTTCATATCATTATTAACCGATAACTGCTGAGTGATAATATTATCATATTTACTGGAACTACAAAATATCCCTAATTAATAGCCAATAGTTTTTCTTGATTGGCGACTACAAATTGGCCGAACAATAGTAAAAAAATGGCGAAGAGATACTATCATAATAACAATAATATTATTTTATACAACCGACGTCATTCCTTTTTACGCATGTACAAATTTATCTATGCTTGAAAATCGGAATCGTTACTATACGTATTGACTTCGATGCTGACTTTTAAGGCACGAGACGACTGCGACACGACTTGAGGCAAAGTTTAAGTAACAAAAATTGTTGTCGAATCCGTTTCTTCTGTTTTGTGGTCTTATGAACTCTGAAATGCTCACAAATCAAGTGATGATTTAGGGAAATAAAACGAAAAATTACAGATTTATGTTACTTTCTAAATATATGTAGAAACGGCCACGCCAAGCTACAAGTGTCAAACACTGGGTGATTTCTAGTGTTTATAGTGATGTATGACTTCCCACCTTTGGCAGATCTCTGAATAATACGCGTATATGTATACTAGGTAGTGTAGTGTCAGACAACATGTTTTATTTCATTCTACCTCAACGATTGTCCTCCTAGTATCTAAGACCTTCCAAGTCGTCTAATATAAAAGTGTTATGTAGCATAACATAAATTAAAGGCGCTTCATTGCCAAGCAGACGAAGGTCGTTGAGTTGTTAGAACGCTAATGGACACATTGTATTAGTTTTATATTGTCATTACAATGCCTAATCAATGATGTGACTATAGATTTATATTTCGAATTATTTGTTATGAATTGCATGTGTGTGTATTTGTACCAGTCAATGAAACATTGATAGATAGGCAGACAACTCTTTATTTGTACTCCATCGTTACAGTAGAAGGGTCATATATACATGATAATGTACAAAGGGCAGTCTAATTACTACATGCAATTCTTTCCAGGCATCCTTAGGATGAAATTCCATTCCAATCCAATTTTAGTTGAAAATGCATTGACAATGTTAGATTAATAGCAGTACTGTGTAGCTAAAATCATTAATGATTTTTAAATGAGAAAATACGTATTCGACACGTACATACAACATTTAGACGATGCTAAATTTCCCCAACTTTTAATGAAAATAAAATGACGCTCTGAAACAAGCACAAACTTTGTTCTCTTTAACATGATTCATAAATTTAAAACTTTTTGTCCCCAGGCCTTCAAGTTGTTCAAACGGAACAAGACCCGCAAAAACACCCGTAACCGCATCTCGCCCGAGCTTACTCGCTCGCCTTCCTACAACGGCACTGTCGACGCGAGCAACGATATCGATATACAGAAATTCTGCGGCTGTCGTACTTCTCTTCCACCACTACACATCAACGACACATACGAAAATAACTCTTATTATAGCAGTTACAACAGCTACAATAGCTCGAGAATCGACAGTCTTGAAAGTTACGGCACAAACGAGTCCCACAGTGGAAGTGGACGATCCGATTCTGCATACGATTCTGAAAGATCCACTCCATCTGATGCCAGAGTCTGCTACGCTACTGTGACATACTTCAATGTAAATGATAGTGAAGATAGCAGCAGCATCCGTACAGAATATACTCTTCTGGACGATGCCGAAGCTGAACAAGACCTTGAAGATTTGGAAGAAGATGAAAGAACGCAGAACATGATCAATGAAAGCATTGAACTTGTTAGTACGTTATGAACTGATTAAGGAGGAAACTTATATCGGTTTAAAATGATTTGAATGATGTTCACAGGAGGATATCATGTTTTTAATCTTCTTTTAGAAGAAGACAAATAGAGAAGGTGTTTTATTAACAACGATGAATTAGGTTTAGTTTTTATATAGGCTAGATTTAATGTGAATTTTGGAGGCATGTGTGATAACTTGGTGCGTTCTTAACCGTGGAGTTACAAAGTTCAAGTTTCTTGTATTCTAGCCAGATTGCAGCTCTATATTTATTTAATTCAAAAATATATTAAGGACTCGTACAATCTATGATAAGCCCTTTATAATTCTGATTGGATTATTTCAATGACGGGTACTCTGACACATCATTATCTTATTGTGTTACCTAATTAATAGTATTTTAAAATGTGAACAGTTAGTTGCCATTTCAATATTGCTTTCCACTTCCTATACTTTAAAATAATTTGCCTAGTTCAATGAAAAATAAAATCAGGTATTTCCCTGGAAAAACGTATTATAAAATTTTTAACAGTGAGTTTTCTGATACTTCAAATCGTTACCTATCATAACGTTGATAAATAATTATGTTTATGTACGTGAACTACTGGGATTAGGGAAAGTCAGATACTTCAGCAGACTGCGTGTAACTGCAGCCAGCCAACCTGGCCAAATCATTTGTCAATTCAAATACCTAATATATTACGTGATTGCGTTAATTCCCGTATATATACACATAAGTTTAATGTTAATATTTATTGAGTGATATTTTGTTTTCTGTATCTTTATCATATATATTTTTCGACACACATTTAGTAAACTTGTAAGATATTCGACAGGAAATAATATTCTACGAATTTGCTTCAGATAATGTCGATATTGTTAAAAGTTTGGAGAGTATTGAGTTGAAATTAATACAAAATTTAATCCAAACTTTCATCAAGACGATATTATATTTTGAAGTTTTAAGTTTTATATTACATTTCGCCTGTTACCAAGCCCTTGAGTGGATATAATATTCTTGAAATATTATATTTTGAAGCTGTTTATTCTTTACATACGATTTGTCGTTCTGTAAGGATTAAGATGGCATAAATTGGAGACATTTTCGTCAGAATTTGTCTTCGAAACACACACTTGATTTAATGAAAAAGGAATATTTGGGTAACACATCTTGCTGGGAACGTAAATACGATTTGAAGTACAACTTACCAATTCTTACTCATAATAAAATCGCAATTTGGTATTGCTTTTATTGGTAACAAGGAAAATAAATTACATTTATGTACTTGAACGTTCAAATCACATTTTAAGTTGTGTAAGTGTCTGTCGTTGGTAAAATCCGATACATCAAGATTGACAAGTTGAGCCCTGCTTATGTTAATAGTACATCTAAATTTAATCCCTCCGCGTTTCTGCGAGTTTACCAAAGTTTATGTGATAATATAAGATAATATAAGATTAATTATCATAAGATATTAGCTTTACTTACGTTCGTTACAGATTAGGTAGAGCCCTTAATCTTGTTACTTCATTTAAGCTTGTAACGTTTTTAATTAGCTTAGAGTGCTTTGATGTTTATTAGTTTCGCATAACTTAACCACTTAGGTGGTAAACTAGCTCATTGATACCTTCTTAGTGGAAACTTTTATTGGACAAGTTACATCTCAGAGTAAATTACATGATCTAAGAATTAATTTATCTAATCAACGGTCTGGTTACTATAGCATAGGTTTTACCTAATTTGGAATTTGAAGGTCGTGTATGAGGTGGCCAAGTTATTGTTAGTAACTTACTAAAAGAAATAAGATGGGGTTCTTCCTAAACCTGTAACTTAACATTTAATAATGTTGATCTCATTTGTATAATTGTAAATATAATATTATATATTATAGTCCTTACTATGTGAAGATAATTTCTGAAATCACATTCGGTCCTTGTCATTCTCATCGAGATAGACAAAGATAGGCTAATCTTTGTTAATGAGTGTTGTCAGAATATCATTACGGAAGTATATTTATGGTTAATGCGTTTAGTTTTTACTACGATGTACGCACGAACATGTAATTATACATAATGGTAACATTTCATAAAAATAAATTAATTTAATTTTTTTAAAACTTTGTTTTATTATTATGTTACATATATGTATACATCACTGTATAAGGTACATAAATATATAGCATAAGGCATGTTGTATCACACAGACATTATTTTCGTTTCAGTTCCAAAATTGCCACAAAAATCAAAGAAACCTGTTGGTTTAGTGACATTAACCTAGTGGTAATCCTGACTGCTGAGTCAAAGTTTATATTATTGCCATGCCAGTATACCAAGTATACCATGTAAGGCTTACTTTTCGTGTATTTTTTTACTTACGGCGTACATTTTTTTTTTGTTATGAGGGCAAACGAGCAAACGGGTCACAGAGTAAGTGACTACCATCGCCCATGGACACCTGCACCTCAAGATACAGGTGCGTTGCCAAAGAGTAACCTCCCCTAGAATTAGGAGGTAGAGAAGGAAGATGAGTCTCCGGAAATCTTACTCACGTGAGGTCATAGTATCACCCCGGTCGAGTCAGCCTATTTGTGCTGAAGCATGGCTTGGCACGATATTTCGTCACATCTTCAAAAAGACTTTCTTTCTAATGAAAGCCAAGAGCTACGTTCGATGATGCTTGTATGCTAAAGATCACCTGGATCACCGAAGTATGGCATAGAATATAGGTAAAAATATTAAAAAAAGAATACGGAGGGAGTGTAAAAACTAAGTCTGTACTCGCCTGCCCTATAAGAGCTCAAATTTTGTCTTTATTTAACAAATATCTTATGGCTGGCAGGTAGATAAGTATAACGGACTAAGATCAGAAACGATTACGGCTAATTACCTAGCTTTAAGAGTAACATCAACATCATCATCACTATAACAGTCCACTGCTGGACATAGGCCTCTCCTTAGAAAGGAGGTTTTGGCCTACTATACCACGCTGGCCAGACGGGTTGGTATAGGGTTTGTTTCAAGTTTTCCTTCTCTTTGCAGTGCTGTTGTCTTGTAGTTGGGTCCCTTAGTCGGCTCTTACAACACCCAAGGGATGAATAGGGGTGGTGACATTCCGTATTCTTAAGAGCAACAGTTGCTCAACTCACAAAATGGCTACACTACTTGGAAAATTACAAAAACCAAAATGAGACCATCTGCCAGCCGCCCGATACGCAATAGACCTTTCAAATTTTCACAACAAAAACATACTGCAAAATTTCGTGTTATTATATTCCAAGTTTTTGTAACTTTAGGCTTACAACATAAAGTAAGCCGTCTAATTAGAAACCGGTTTGCGAACTTAATTGTTAGTATTTCAACACTTCGGTAAACAATTTCAACTGAACAATTGTCCAACTCAACACTTTTGTATTTAAGTACACATTTACTTGTAAAACACAAATTATTATGAGGAGTTTTGTCAAAACATAATCCTCAATACCGAAGTGAAACTATTGTGCAAAAGCTATAACACGAGTATTGCGTTTATACAATATACAGAACTTGAAATACCTGTTTTAGGATTTGGTTCGTATGCCACACTACAGACATTCAATGCTCGAGGGAAACAACCCTCCTGCTTACAGAGGATATAGCTTTGCGTTAATATATTTCCAGATAGAAAATAGCCAATGTGCTTGACTGACCTGTTGGTCTAGACCCTGACTGTTACACCAGAGGTGATGGGTTCGATTCTCAACCAGGACAAATAATTGTGTGATGAGCACGGTCATTTGTTCTGTGTCTGAGTGTACTTTATCTATAATATGTATGTTTTTAGAAATATAAAAGTATGTTTATCAGCAGTCTGGTTACCATAGTACAGGCTCTGCCTAGTTTGGAAAATATTATAAAAATATTATATTTAATACTCCAGACTATACTCTAAATTTGGCTAAGAAGTGGTAAAGAGGTAAGGACAAAATGTTTGTAGCAACTTTTAGTATGCCTGTATACTCTGATACGAGATCGGCAGTACTTACGCATATATAGTTTAATATTTTATTAAGAACTAGCCTTTGCCCGCTGCTCCGCCCGTGTAAATGTCGATTATCGCGGTAAAAAGTAGCCCTCACGATTAGCATTTGAGTTTAGGATAGGTAAAGAGGTTGCACCAGGGACTTCCTTTCTAGGGTATACCTGGTTCCCCGGCTATGAGTACCCGAGACGGCGTGCGGTTTTAGTCGGTTCGAGTCTGACATGCCACCGATAGGTGGTATCCGAGGGGATTTCCGCACGGAAAAAAAAAGAAAAAGGATAGGTAAAGAGGTAATAGTATATGTAGTCTCTATAGATGGAACGAAATCACAGTGACCTGTGAATTAACGGTGATTTATCATTCGATTTTTTTGTACGTAGGTTAGGGTTTTAAAACGAAGCATAAAGATCCTATTTCGCCTATTTAACATTCAATTTATTATAGATATAGATACCATTCCCTACATAATAATTAAAAAAATACTAAATTTACTGTTGAATAGCGTCTAACTTACCTACCTACGCAAAAATCTAATGATAAAGCACAGTTCACTGTGATTTTGTCCAATGTCTAATAGTCTACATCTCCGTGTTCTGAAGGAGGGGAAGAGCAACCACAGTTTGGCAGCGCATTTGTCTCTTAAGTTGCAGGTGAAATGGACTTTGGTGGTAGCACATTAAGAAAAAAAATAGTACACAAATTGATAGCTCTATTAATTAGTAAAATCTATATGAAAATCTGTTTTATACTTTTGGAGCTTATTTAAAAACTGGCTGACTCGTTTGATTCTCTCAAAAGAAATATTTTTATTTGTTTCATTTTTCATTAATACTTGGCTCCCATTGGTTATAGTGTGATGTTATATAGCCTATATCCTTCCTCAATAAAAGGGCTATCAAAGACTAGAGGAATTCTTCAATTCGAACTAATAGTTCTGGAGACCACATCCATAGAAACTCACAAACTTTACCTCTTTGTAATACTAGTATAGGTA